TGGTGTTGCATCATACCAAAATCTTGGGTGGAACTAAGATTTCAATATTTTTTAGTTTAAAATTTGGGGGTAAAAAAAGGAATGCGGGCGATTACAGACTCAACGCAATAGTCACAGTGAGGAAGGGTTAAGTAAACTCAACCTCAGAGGGGTGGGGAGAAGAGGGGAACTTGGCATTAGGTTGTGAGTAGCATGGGGAAAATATAGATGGATGACAGCTGAAGTCAGTGGTCAGAGCTGACGTACAACGTTAGAAATGCCATGTTCCGTGAGGAAAAGCTACCACAATGGGTCTTGACAGGTCAAAGATACAGCTCTACGACCAGGTTGTGACGTCGTGATGATTGGACTAAAAGGGTCACAGTCACCTTTTGGAAATGGTATTACACAATAGGACATTGAACGAGGAAGGCTTGAGGTGGACTCTCTTCAAGTTGTCAAATACTATGGAGAGCGCGAGCATTTGTAGTTATAAAATACAGAACTAGGATCTCAAAGGAAAAAATATGGGCTGCTAGCGAAGTGGCAGAGGAGTCGGGTTGGTGACAACCCATTGTTTACCTTGGCTTTTTTTGGTGTCAGTTCCCGGCCCCTTGCCAAGGGCCTGAACCGAACGGACTGGCTTTTTTTCCATTATGTATTCTTCTAACATCTACAGCAATCACGGTGGAGAACACTTCTCCGCATGGAGAAACGGTACTCAGCTTCACGGCCGACATTTTCAGCAAGCCATGTTTCAATCTTGGTGTGGGAATAAAAAATACCTCTAAACGGTATTACTTATCACTTGAAATATATGGGTTGGTGGATAGGCCAAATAAATGTGCTTCAAGGAGCAGAAAGCCCCTTCCCGTCGTCAAACGACGATTTTCTTGTTGAAGACGAACTCTTCTGTCTCGTCGCTAAAATGGCGACGGGTCGACAGACAGAAACAACGAAACAACATTTCGTCCTTCCGGTAGCTTCCGGCACTCCCCGCCCGATTCAGGCAAGATTCAGGTGACGTTTCGACGGTTCTTTCCAAACGATATTTCACCTTCAACAAAGTTTTGGTTCGGGGTCACGCTTTGTATTTTGTATTTTCGTTATGACGAAGAGAATAGTTATGTGCCCTTCCTTGTAAAATACGCCGTTTGATTCTACGGAATATCTATGAAACAGGGTAGCAAGAATGAATTCCCGTTTTTCGGATCATACATTCTGCCCTTGATTGTGCACGGGGATGTGGATTTTATTCAGATCAACATGTAGAGCACTCATTGAAAATCACAAGTCTTGCCGGTTTTGTGTGAAGGACCGTCCGATTAAATCTGGCCACTATGCATGAGATGGCAAGACTGGTCCCATTTAAACTTTCCGCCAAACAGCCGGATATTCTTAGAGCGCTTCCGGTGTCTAAAATCGAAACTATAACTGACCAGTCGGGGGCACTCTGCGACGCACAGCAGTCTGAGGGATGTGGTATTCGTGAACAAACCTTCCTTTCTCACCACGTTTCCTTTGCAGCGATTTCCTGTCTCCTTTCTGTTCCAAAATGCCACCGAAACAATCGAAGCCGGGCGATAAAGCTGGTAAATACTTTAATTTTTGCAGTTATTGGGTGTTAGACCGCTGTTTATTTTAATTGATGTTGTACCATTTATTCGGTCTACACTTTTTGTCTTGAATTGGGTCATTAGACCCTGTAAATGCCGAGTCAACTGTGATGGCCACATGGCCGAGCGTGTCTTTCGGTTATTTATGGTGTATCTGAACTCGTCGCAACACCTGCGGCTTCAATCCCTCCTCGTTATTTCAAAATTTTCTCGTTGATGTGCGTGTCATTATGAAACCGATCGCATTGTGTTAGGTACTAGGTGAATGTATCCTAACCTATATTGTTTGTGTTGTGCCACTCGGCATCACTTGCGTGCCGTTCGTTAGGGTTACATTGAAGTGCTCGTGTCATTCTCTAAATTGGCTTTTCGTTCTAATTGGTGTCTTATAACATTACTAGTGCAATTCGTGTGTTCAAACAGATCGATATTAAATTGATCACAGCTATTTTCTCAGTTCTTGAGGGGCTCATCCATGTGTTCTTGTTTGTGCAGGCGCTGCCAAGCCCGAAGCCAAAAAGGCTGAGAAGAAGCCTGCAGCTGCTGCAGGTACATCTGGTGCTTCTGCCCCCAAGCAGGCCAAACCAGCAGCTGCCAAGCCTGCTGCTAAAGATGCGAAGGCCAAGCCTGCAGCGAAGCCCGCTGCCAAGCCTGCTGCCAAGGCAGCTGGCAAGGGAGCTGCGAAGCCTGCTGCCAAGGCAGCTGGCAAGGGAGCTGCCAAGCCTGCCGCCAAGGCAGCGGGCAAGGGAGCAGTCAAGAAACCTGTAGCAAAGGGAGCCGCTGCCAAGGGGGCGAAGACTGGAGTCAAGAAGACTGTTGCCAGGCCTGTTAAAGGTGTTGCACCCAAGGCTCAGAAGGGCGTCAAGAGCGTAAAGCCTGGTGCAGTCCAGAGAGCTCTTAAAGTTCAGAAGAAGGTACGTGTGAACTTCGAAGTGTAGATCTTTGCTATGATGATATTAATTGTGGGAATCTCTTTGATACTGTGTGAAAATACCCAACAATTACTGATGCAAAGATTAAATGATATTGAACTTATACTGTGATGAGAATTAGTGGGAATCTCTTTGACTGTTTGTGAAACCACTTAAACTATTTCTGATGAGTGATTTCAATCAGCCAGAACTCTTGTTCTCCCGATACACCTGTTACATTTATTTGCTTGTTCCTTGCAGATCATTAAGGGCCCCCATGGCACCAGAGTTCGGAAAGTGAGGCCTTCCGTGCACTTCCATCTCCCCAAGACATTTAGGCCACCAAGGAATCCCAAATATGCCCGTAAATCAGTGCCACGGAGAAACCGGTGAGTTGGTCTGCCATTTATTCTTCTTGCACATTTGTTAGACCTAGAGGACTAAGTTTTGTTATTACAGAATGGACGCCTTCAATATAATCAAGTTCCCCCTGACTACTGAGGCTGCCATGAAGAAAATTGAAGATAACAACACATTAGTGTTCATCGTTCATACCCGGGCTAACAAGCACCACATCAGGGCTGCCGTCAAGAAGCTGTATGATATTGATGTTGCCAAGGTTAACACACTCATCAGGTATGTATCACATTACAGTACATGTGATTGTTAACAGGCTATTGTGTAAGATTTAATTGATGTTTATTCTGTTCTAGGCCCGACGGTAAGAAGAAGGCGTACGTCAGACTCACCAGAGACTTTGATGCCCTTGATTCAGCCAACAAGATTGGTATCATCTAAATGTGTATTCCTATCTTGTTAATTAAACTTCAAAAACCCATTTATGATCTTTCTATTTGAAATCCCTTGACTCAACCAATTAAGAATTCATGTGCCTTTCCCAATGTCCTAGCAATCTGAGTTTTCAAAAGTTCATGTTGGTTCTTTATTTTGATTTATTACGTGTGAGAATTCTACATAATTTTGGAATTTCTCAAGATAAATGTAGTTTTTTGCATGGTGAGTAGATGGAATCATCATTAAGCAAATTGATAGCTCAAAAGTAATGTCGGTTGGATGTTGTACTTCATTGACAGCAGGTTATGAACTGCATGATAGGCTACCTGTTCAATATATTATCAGGAATCGCAGGGTTGCCACAAGTCAGGGAATTGAGGTGTTCGTCTTGCTTATTGCATTCTGACTGCTAAACTTATCAAGGAAATTCAGACTTGTCTTGTAAATGTCAGGGAATTTCACTTTTACATTCTTGTGGGAACCCTGAATTAGAATAAGAAGACAGACATGATTTTAAAGAACAATTTAATTAGTAATGTTATGAACTAACATCCTACAATTCATCAAAACTACATTGAGATCCTGAAACAATATACAGGAATGACTGTAATAGTAAGGCACTTCACAATCACAGTAAGCATAGAAGTCTAACTGCACAATATGGACGGACAAATAGAAGACTTAACTCTAAGAAGGCCAGAAAAATAAAATGAGATTTGTTATCAACTGTGATTGGACAAGAGCAGGTGGCGAGGCCTGAACAAATTGTCAAGTTCCTGGCCAATCCTCCTGCTCTTTTTCTTTAGAATAAGTATTCCAAGGAGATCTATTAAAATTATATCCAAAATATCATATACATATCAATTAAAACATAATTTGAACACAGTTATGCCACTCCATTAAGACAACCCACTTATCACTTCAATTTCTTTTTCTTTTCTTTTTTTTTTTACTGATGAAGCCTAGGTGTGCTATTAGCGACATCCTTCTTCAGTAGTGCTAATGCATTTTAACAAATTATGAGGAAATTTTGGAACCCCTTGATGGGTGCTGACGAGTGTCTCATGAAAGCAGAAGCACCACATAATCTATGTCCACTTTTGCAACAGATTCTATTCTCTGCCTAAATTTCACCCCAAAAATTTGGCATCAGTACTTAATAGAAGTACCAATTTAAAATACCTGCAAGAGATGAGGATTCTTCTATTATAGTAGCTGTCCTTAACAGATACCGATAAAACAATTCCTCATTCATAATTAAAATCTACATGAAAATGTTGCTCGGTAAAATAAAATACTCAACTCAAAGCAAATCATAAAGATTGAGAAATACTATTTCAGTATTTTACAAAACACAAACCATTAGTTTTGTTGTTGTTGTTTTTTTTTTTGTTTTTTTTTTTGGGGGGGGGGGGGGTCATTTTGTGCTTTGAAGTGCAGGACACTAAAGGACATAAATTCAATACTATTAGGGTAACATTCTTACAAATTAAATACAATTACTATATAAGCCTGAATATAAGCTAGATACAAGAAAAAAGCCCTGGGCCCTGGGCTGATATCCCTAGGTAGTACAAAATTGGACGGATAAATACTGCATAACCAGCCTATTACGCAGATGTATATAAAAATATCAAAGTTAAAAATTACTTCACTAGATCAACAGTAAAATTGATTTTTTCATTAAAAACTGATAAAAAGTATTCAGTACCACAATTTTCAAAGACACTTAATAATTATAGATGTGGAATGAAACTTGAATATGTGTTTATCATGTTTATCAGAACTTCCGATGAACAGTCTTCAGTAAAATTAAAATTAAGTGCTTCTTTGAATTTCATCGCTTCATTCCAAAAATGTAGGTTCATAATTAGGAATGGATAATTAACCAACAATCCATCTTCCGACAGCAAAAACTGAGAGCAGACTTATTGACAGTACCATTGCACTTGCCTTAGCCAAACTGCCACTCAACTGTAATGGAAAAATGTATGTTATTTGTTAACTCTTCACCACAGGTCGAATTACTTTTGATTTGTGATAGAAAACTTGATAACTTACTATGACAAAATAATTGCAGCGGTCACCAGAACAGCAATCAGAACATTTCCAATCTAGATACCAAACATAATTACAATAAGGCATTCTGTCTTTTCTCTCTCGTTCACATTCGTTCTTGGTAGCACACCTCTTGGACACATAATACTGTTTAGGTGCTCCAAGCTCCCAGTACGGTGTACCTAAATGGTCAAAAAATTGTTATCTTTCTAGTTGGCAACAATAGAAATAAATGATTCATAAATAGTAGTACTTACTTCCCCAGCGAAAATCTGTTAGACACATGTCGTCACCTGGCTCACAAACTTTAATCGTCTTCATACACTTTTCATCATTTCCTTTCTGTTTGTCACATACATAACATTCCAAACCTAAACCTGAAAAGTGAGATACACAAGATATTAAGCTGTGAAATGAATAGTGAAATAATGGGAAACCAATGGAGTTTTATACATAAAATACGAAAGGACAGTAGAAATAAGAGCTTTTTGAAACAGGAAAGACAGAAACAGAAACATGAATGTGGTTGATAGAAGAGTTATTTTAAGGGTTAGAAACAAGTACTTACAAATATTTATCAGGCAAAGACCAATAATACACCAAAATAAACACACACGTAGTGAATCCATTTCCTATAAAATTATAGTTTTTTGCTGTGGCTGAACCTAGTATTTCATAGAAAAGTTGTACAGACAAGTAGGAAAAATATAAGTATAAATTGGTACTCGTCGTACACGCCCAACCCAAAACAACAAAACACAGCAACAAAAACAAAAACATCAAAAACAAAAACACTTCACACGCCCTAAACAAGAAACAAAACACTACTGGAGGCTAGCAGCGGCAGATTTGAAGACTTCATGATGACGAAACCATATCCTGGGAACATATAACATATCTCAAGAACATATAAAGCATAAGATACTTTTGTTTAAAATTTCAACAGGGCCTAACAATGCCAAGAGAAACAATGCTCAGAACTAGGTAAAAATTAAATAAATAATACTACTTAAATTGTAAAACAAAATATTTTTTTATTTACAAATTATAACATTTAACAGTTTCTCAAGCAAAACGCAAGAGACAAAAAACAACAGAAACAAGGGGAAAAAATAAACAGCGTAACAGCACATATAATGCTAGAAGTACGTGGAGAAAATTATGAACTATGATACAGAAGTGTAACTCTAATGACAAGGGTTACTATCCTCTTTCACCACATATTCTTGATTACCAAACCTAGTAATGAGTGGATCTATATTGTCTTCTTCAATATGCTTTGCCCACTTCTCCATAAGAAATTTCCGAACAGAAGCATAAGCATTAATTGAATTTGAATTAATATTGGGGATATTCAGTGTTAGGACATACACCCCACCATGCACCCAAGGATCCTCTACATCAAGGATATAATGGAAGAAGCCAGCAACACCAGGATCCATATCTTCCACATTCAAAACAACCAATGACTTACTATATTCTAGCTCTTGTCTGATTGACATGAGAATGTTACGGTTTAAACCATTGCGTCCATTGCGTCCATTAAGAATCTTTGGCTCACTAAAATTTTGGGTCCTATGGCAAGCTACATCTTGAGCAATCTGCTTTGCTAGGCAACTAGCTACATCTTCATGACTGTCGTGGAGAAGAAGCAGCACAAAAGGTTTAAAATTAGACCTGCTTGACTCTACGTAATTCCATAGTTTTGGAGTTTGCCTAGGAAATTTTTGCTTCAGTTCTGAACTGTTACATCCGGTCTTAGTTTCAGTCATATAAGAACAACAACAAAAATAAAAAATAATAATAAGACTAACAAAGATAAAGGGACAAACTCTAGAAAACAAATTAATTACTCCACCACTTGCTGTAGATTGAACTTGTGAGGTAGGAAGCCTCACACCATTTAGTGGAATATTGGAGGACCTTGTACACTGTGGCTCCTTTACACCTGACAAGTTTTCAAAAGCCACTTTCCTCCGAGAAACAATAGAACTGCTACTCTGCTTCCTATTTTGCGTAAATGGCTCTAATGGAGTTGCCTTAACTCTCAACCTGGACAGACCAATTTTTGAAGGATTGGTGAACTGCCTAGTCTGCTTTTCTCTTCCATCAGAGGGAAAAAAATCATTGATGCCATTAAAGTCTTTGAGTCCATCGTCAGAATTCTCAGTTTCAGACGTGTCTTTATCAGTGCTATCTTCATCATCATCAGATGAAGAATAGAGGTCCTTTTTCACATTATTGTTGTCAACTTTTTTCTTTGGAGGGGTTCGTTCTGGTCCCACCAAGCCATGAAGCTCTGGGACAACATTTCGAAGGCGACGAGATCTTCTTAGGATGTCTATATAAACAAAATATGTAGGGGTAAATTATGTAGCAAAACTGTAAACATGATGGATATATTTTTTCTTTAACAATAAGTACATAATTAAAATATTGGACTTGCCATTTCCATTAGTGGTTTCCATTTTGATAAAATAGGAAGAAAACGACCGTCTGATTCAAATTTCTGAAAAGAATAAAAACAAAACAGTCTTAATGTAGTGCCACTTTTCACTAGTCAATGATTATGAGTGATAGGTATACCATAGCGCGCCTTGCCGAGTACTTAGGTTTCTACAGCACTAATGTTGTTTTAGATCCATAAAACTACAAATATGAAAGTGAGCTAAAGTTAAAGTTGTTTGCTAAATCTAACCCACCACATGCCGAGCAGACTATGGTTTGTCAAATAATATCTTCCTTTACTATGCACAGTACCGCTATGACATGCCATAATGTCAGACTCACCCATTTAATCCAATAAATATCTTTTCCGGGGTTCTTGAAAAAGGTGATGTAAAGTACTGCTCAATTCTAAATATGAGCAACCACAGCGACAGCTGCCGATTTGATGCTGCACCGCGTTTTCTTTCGACAGCAGAGGACAGACAGAAGCAGACGATGAGTCAAAACTGCCAACCCATCATCCTTTGTTAATGAAACACACCTGTCCGTATTTATCTGGACTTGTAAAAATCGTTGCAACGCACGTCATTTTAGAGGTGAGACTTAATTGATTACAGAATGAGCTAAGAATGGTTCCGGCAGTTCTGCCCTTCGCTATCTATCAAATGGTTGTACGGGTTGGTATGAGAAACAGTTCTGTTGTCTCCCTCGTGGCCAACAGTGTCTTATATTTTGATTTAGATGCTCCATTACTCTAACCTCTATCTTTCCAATTTTAATCTTGGATTGTAACATGAATTTAAGAAACATGCTACCTGCTGTCAGAAGTGTTTTTCAAACTGTACACTTTCAAACCTCTCTACTGAAGCATGGTATGGTATTGTTCATAAAAATTCCTATAAATAATATGATTTATTTAAAAAAAAATTATTTTGCACATCTGAAAATTGTCTGCTAGCTAAAGATCAGTTTATCTTAAAGTTTCAGTTCTCAACATCTTGTGTACTAACCTTATCCTTGTATGGCAATTTTTACTTTGATATGTGTTGCTACATTTTATTCAGGCTGGAATTCGATGTCAACTTCTTCTGTTAGATTGAGGAAGACGAATTATCTTACGGCTCCTGATGATTACTCAGGTATTTACCCTATCATTGATTGCATTTGTTGTCACCTCATACACATTTATTGTTCTACTTTCACTTATTTTCCATACTAGATATTGTAATTCCTGAAAGGCCGAAACTCCCTATGCTCCTGAAAGTGCCAATGTTAGGACCTGGTCAAAGACACATTAAAATGAAAAAAAATCTGAAGTTTATGAGGGGCCCTGAAGAAGTTCATAATGCACTTTTGCACGAACAATTTGGTATAATGGTGAGCTAAAACCTCAGTTTGCGAGATGTTTCAACATCCGCATGGCAGCTTTTTTATCTGATACTAACTACATTATTTCCTAAGTTAGGTACGGAATACTGTGTAATTACTTTCTCAATGCCAAAATACTTACAGGCCTTGACAGGAGGTAGATTAAAGCATTCTCATCTCGAAATGCTGCGCATGAAAATCGGCAAGAAAATGGATACCAACAGAATGTTTGCAGTCTGGAGAGTGGATGACCCTTGGCAACCTATTACAAAGAGGGTAAGTATGTCACCTTCCAAGTAAAGTTGCAGTTTACAAATTTTCAGTCTGACATGATCCAACTTATTACAGGGTGTTGGCAAAAGACATGGTGGTGGAAAGGGTGCTATAGATCATTATGTGACTCCTGTGAAGGCGGGGCGAATCATTGTTGAAGTTGGAGGCAAATGCTCTTTTGATGAGGTTTGTTAAAACCATTTGAGCAAATAATTATTTTCTTAGTTTTTTCCCTTCTTATCCTTGTTTTTTTATTATTATTTTTATTCAGGTCCAACCATGGTTATCAAAACTAGCAGATATAATGCCATTTGATGCTATTGCAGTTGATCAGAAGACACTGCTGGCAATGAAAAAACTTGAAGAACTTAAAGAGCAACGTAATTGCAACCCCTACACGTTTAAATATCTTGTAATGAATCGGATGTGTGGCTCTCATAACTGGTTGAAAAATATGGACAAACTTTACTTTGGAAAATATGAGTAACAGAACTTTACAGTTGTATACAATGTTTTTGCCCTATATTTGCTTTTCAAGTACAATTGTCTGGTTTGTTGAATAGTCCTTTTCAAAAAGATTGATGCAAAATATTTTTGGGGTAGTTTAATGAATAACAAATAAATTATAATGTAAGACAAATTAACTGAGCACAGTAAGAATGCAAAGAAGCAAAACAATAGGCAGCTATTGAGAAGCTGGTAAAAAGTGTTGGTAATAATTTTTTGTTAAATCAACCATTAACTCTTGAGTGCACTCAGGTAGCTCTCCTACACAAACACCAGGGGATCCAGCATAACGAGAAAATGATGGAACAACAGTCTCTGGAGGAAGCACTGTGTTATCTTCAATGTAGCAGCAATCTTTCAAAATACAGCGCCGGCCCTGAGGATGAAAAATGAAAAAATTAATTTTGCAAAACATTGACATGACATTGAGTCCCATTAAGAATTTAAAATCAAAGTGAAGAGGCAGTTCATACTGTTATGAGCATATTTCACATCAATTGGAATATCAATTGTATGATAATTAAAGAACTCAAGAGGAACATAACAAAGAAGTTTCATCATTAATGATCAAAATACTTACAATAACTACATTATTTCCTATGTAAACATAATTGCCCACCATTGCCGCACTAACTACCGAGTTTTCTCCAACAAAGACATGGTCTCCCATTGCCAGAGGAAAAAAAGCAACACTGTCGACAGATAAACACAAACGGGTTTTAAATTCAATAAGAATAAAAGATTTTCAACGTCAGAATAAAATAAACGATGTAATTTATTGAGGTAAGACTGTACCCTTTGCTGAACTTCTTGAACGAGGGACGGAGTACTGCTCTTTTACTGACAATGCAATATCTTCCAGTTCGAACGTGAGCAAGATCTCCTCGTATGATTGCATCTGACTGCACTATCACTTTACCATGTAGTACAATGTTCTGTGAGCCACAAAGAACTGTTTGCCTGCTAACTTTGTTACCTGATGCCTGTAAAAAGTAAAAAAATTACAAGTAAAGTAAGGTGAAAAGTGGAAACTACCATAAGGAGTTGTATAGCCTATGATAATAGGTTTGTCACCGTTTCCACATATTCTGCTTTATTGTAGAGAATGTCATTTAGTTCCATGATGAATTAATTGAAGATCAGCTATAGTGATACTCCAGTGCCCAAGGAATGAATCAGTATAAAAATATGCCGCAAAGTTTGTTTTTTTTCATTCAAAACTATTAAAAAATAGCATGACACAGACTTGACAGCTAGGTATTATAGTCGTACTGACGAAAGAACAACACAGTTGCCTCTATCTTCACCACGCTTTTCAGCCAGTCGGTGTGCTGTTCTTTCGTCAGACGGACCATATACACAGATAATTATTTGCAGCTTACAGAACAGGTAACTCCCCTCTGTCGGTTCAACCAACGACTGCCCGAGGTCTTCCGTCTGTCGTGTCAGTTGCAGGTTACAGTTGTATTCGCAAGCTCGCAAGCGGCGGCCGGTTGCTTGCGGTTGCTGAGTTCTAATTTTCGCCATGGCATCTGTTTTGTGTCCTGAATTTACTGCTCCAGGTTTCTCTTTTGAGAATCATCAAAGGTAATTGATTCATTGAAAATATAGACCTAATATCTCACTTTACAGCCGTGGTGCTGCCTCGTTGTTATATCAAATTTATACCGATAAAGTGACTTGGTAAACAAAACCTGCACTGTCATGTCATCTTTTCCTCTTTGCCTATTTATTTCTGGGAGTATTGAATTCGCTTCTTTTTATACCATAAAATTGTAATGTATTTCACGTGACCTGCTCATGCAGCTCTCCTGGAAGTGCGTTTTTATTTGTTTCAAAAATCGTTGCCCTTTTTTATAGCTCTTTATAGGTTAGGTTCTCTCTTCAGATTTGTTCTTTTAAACTGCCTACCTTTCGAAATATGTAATATACAAACTTCCAAGTTTGTTTTCAAGATTGACAGACAATGAGTTATTGAGTCCTATGTAATTTCTTATTTTGACTTGTATGCTTTTTTTCCTCTCATTCATTTTCAGAAATGCCTTTTTAGCCAAAAAGGGCTTTCCTGCCCCCAAAGCCACCAAGACAGGTACCACTATTGTTGGAGCCGTCTTTAGGGATGGAGTTGTTTTGGGAGCTGATACCCGTGCTACTGAAGACACAATTGTTGCATCCAAGAACTGTCAGAAAATTCATTACATGGCTCCAAATATGTAGTAAGTTATCTTTACTTGACGCTTTTCATGAAATTGTTAATTTTGTCTCAGGGCTTGATTTGTACTAATTAAGTAAATCTTTTCAGCTGTTGTGGTGCTGGTACTGCTGCAGACACTGAATTTACCACTGCATCAATCAGTTCCCAGCTTGAGCTTCATCGTTTGAATACTGGCAGAGTTGTTCCTGTAGTCACTGCAAATATGATGCTTCGTCAGATGTTGTTCCGCTACCAGGTTTGCAAGATGTCATAGTAACCCACTAGGTTATTCTTTTAGATAGTTTAGTTTTCCACTCTAACTGTGATTAACAACTATAGGGTCATATTGGAGCTGCGCTGATTTTGGGAGGAGTTGATAATGCTGGTCCTCACCTCTATAATATTTACCCACATGGATCAAGTGACAATCTACCATATTGTACTATGGGGTCTGGCTCACTTGGAGCTATGGCTGTATTTGAGTCTCGCTGGAAGCCTAACATGTCTGTAAGTATAAAGTGCCTTTATTTGATTGCCTCTCGATTGATATCTATGTATTGTACTGTCATCTTTTATCCCAATTAATTTGAAACATTACTTTATTTTTCTTTCATTAGGAAGAGGAGGCTAAGCAACTTGTTCGTGATGCAGTGGCTGCTGGTGTTTTTAATGACTTGGCATCTGGTAATAATATTGATCTCTGTGTAATTCGCAAGGGAGCTGTTGATTTTTTGAGACCCTACCAAGTTGCCAATGAGAAGGGACAAAGGTTAGTGATCACTGCTTATGTTTTTGTGGTACTTCTGGTTATTTCTCATTATCCTATCTAACGTGTAATCTGATCGTCTTTCAGAATCAACTCTTACAAGTACAAGAAAGGTACTACAGTTGTGTTGAACCAGCGTGTGATTCCAATTCAAGTGGAAGAAGAGATTGTGCGTAAAGTGCCCGCTCCAGATGCTGAGGAATCTATGGATACAAGCTAAATTAACTGATGGATCAAGTGTAATGGATGTGTGGATTAGGAACTAAAAGATATCAATGCCATGAGTTAAACATTGGTGTGGAGATTGAATAAACATAATTTCTTAAAGTAAAGGTATATATTTAAAAAAAAATATATAAAACCAATTTATTTTACCTGTGCTAACAGCATTTATTAAGCTGTCTGTTATATTCAGACAAGAATACTAGCTTTCTTTAATCGGAAATTGATCACCATTACCCGAGTCTTCATCAGGGGCACTTACAGAGGTTTCTTGGATAGTTAAATTACTTAGTTCATTTATTTTATCAGAGGTATCTCCAGTGTAAACCTGTACGCCAGTACATCCCAAAATCTCATGATGTTCTTGCCAAAATGTGTCAGAAAACATGTCACAGTGAAATGGGAGTACAACTTGCTTCCGTTTCCCATCTGGCGGCGGAATGTGAACTGATTTTCTCATCAAAATTGTCCCTTTCCGGAACATTATTGGTTCATTGTTATAATTTATTTTGAATTCTGAAAATAGGATTTCATTTTTGTGCGATGACAATGTACCACGAAGTCGTTCCTCTGCCTAAAACAAAAGAAAATTCTTAATACCCTTAAGTTCAATGAGAGTTCAGAGTACACAATTATAGAAATATTGAATGAACTTTTACCTGGCTATTTGTTAAGTTCTGTTTGAGTACAAGCATCCAAAAGGTAGTATTGTACAAATTGTTGACATGTACATCTGCTTGTCGCCAATTGAGATAGTCTCTCAAATTAGTATCACTAGGGTACAGTACAACTCTTCCATCAAAAGTTGGTGGATACATTAACTTTCTATCACTAAAGAACATATTCCAAAAGAAGACGTACGACGAGGCAAAGAGCGAGTTGACATTCGTCAGAATCTTGGCAGCACGACGGTTATAAATCGTTGCGTCCTTGCGGAATACAAAACTAAACTCATCACTTTGACCGTAAGCTAAGTTTATCTCTCGGAATTCTTGCATTACAACTGTTGCACATTTGTTCATTAGTTGTAGCGCCCGCATATCATTTGGCTTCTCAAGATGATGTTTCTCACAAAAGCGAGTGAAATTCTTTCCGTCCAATCTCACCACGATCCAAGTGTTGGGTAAAATCCTATCATCTTGCTCAAATGTTTTAACATATTCATATTTGCTTTTTGCCATGATTGAAGAAGTAGACAATTTGCAGCTGTGAAAGAAAATTCGATTGAGACCAATTTGATGGAACAAGTAGGAAACTTTGGATCTGATTACTCCCATGAATGAACTTTTACAAAGGAATGTCTGCCAAACTATAGAGTTCATACACAAAACACAATGCTAACCTACACTACACACGCACGCACGCACGCGCACGTAAACAAAGCATGCTCGGCCACCTCGATACGTCTTCTCGTCTTCTGCTTTTCTAGAGAACGTTACTTCGGGTTTCCTAGAAGGCACATTGTATCATCAGGTGGTGTTTTGTATATTTTTGTTTACTGGACGTTCGTTTTCTTTCGCAAAAATTGGCAATATCGTGGCATAGTATGTTTCTCAGAGCCCTTCAATGTTTTGCTGTATGAGAGTGACGGTTTAAAATCATGGCCGAGACGTCTGAGGGTGGCAACAACTGTTCTGATCAAGAAATTGACATAGGGAAATCAGCAGGAATGGAGACTCAAAGAGGTAGGTTGCATACCAGTTCCTAGTCCTAACTCTACTTTCCAAGTAGCTATTATTTGCTGATTACCAGCGCATTTTAGAAAAAAATAATCTGATATTGGTGTCAAAACATGGTTTCCAATAATTAAAATAACAGTCCCGCAAGATCACCTCAATGAGTCATGCAATCGTAACAGATGCTTTTAACCAACATAGCATTCCGGTTCTGCGTTTAAAACATGACAACAAAAGAAAGTCAGTATAGCTAATCGTGTTTTATAACTATAATAACTACGCTACCGTAAGCTATTTCAAATAACAGCTGAAATTTACCCCTGAAACTGCATGTACGCTTGCTTTGTTATCTTACTGTTTGTGAGATAGGTTATGGTCAATGATGTGTATTAGTTTTCTGTTTCCTCTTTTCTTAATGTTCTGTAAAATTTACACCAGTAGAAAAACTCATGAAGGAAAGTGTAGTCTGTTAAGGATATGTTTCAGATTTTTAGGAAGGAATATTTTAAAAATGTATCTAGCTACTCTCTGACCTGTATTGTGCAAGTAGTTAGTTATGTAGTACCCCTGAGGTATCCTTTTTCTTTAACATTATTTAAATGTGCAACAGTTGAGTAATTTCTTATGTACATTATGCATCCGGCTTAGCTTGCAGCATGCATTTTTTTCTTAAATTAATGTATGTATCTGTGTGTGCATGATAATTAGTGTTATGTATTTGATTGTTGTCATACTGTTAAATTAATATACTGTTCTTAATTTTGAAGTAAGATCCAAAAACAACGTGTTAAGTGCATGAATGCAAGATTAGGCTATTGATTAGTCTTGCTTTGTTTTTGCCTGTTAGTGTAATAATTTGGTTCTTATATTTTGCCTTCTTTTAAGCAGTCTTGTTTTATTCACAGTTGTGAGAAAATGTTGTTGTTAACTGGGTAAGAATCTCGTATGTTCAATTTAATCTTGCTGAAGCCAGTGAAGCTGAAGCCCCTTTATCGCCTGTTTCAAGTAAACTGGTTTGGGCATATGAGAACTGAAGCCAGCTTCAAGCTGGTTTTAGCCAAGCAGATTAACCCAAACCAATGACAGTGTGGCTTCAGCTTCACTGGCTTCACCAAGGTTTAATCGACCATTAGTGTCTTCAAATTGTTGCATTTAAAAACAAGTATGTTGACTTGTGCTTTGATTTTATTGTTACTGGCCACGTATAAAATTGTACTTCCTGCAATTTTATCTAATTGCATGACTCTTTTGACAAATTGTTTGCTGAATACATTTTGATTATGATTTTTATTAAATTTTGAGTGTACTTCAATTTTCTTATGCTTGTGTAAAGTGCCCAAGTGCCCTCTCCTACAAACTTGCCAATTTCCCATTGGAAAGATAGCATGTGTGTGTGTGTGTGTCTTGTTGTCGTTGGGTGGGTATGTGTCCAATTCCCATTCCAATCCGTGTAGCTTCCAATCAGCCGTTGCTAATGTGTGGTGAAGGCCGTGCGCCGCCCTGAACATGGCTCCTCTCCTCTCGATTTCAGCGGCTGAGCCCGAGGCCGTACCCGAGGCCGAGCCCTCGCTGCTGCTGGGGGAGGTGCCGCAGCCGGCGCACGTGACGCGGCTCCTGGCGCGGGTCCTGGAGGAGGGCGCCGAGGAGGGCGCCGAGGACGGCGGGCGGGCCGGTCTGGACGCCCTGTTCGCTCTGCTGTTCGTCCTGGCCGTGGAGACGGGCTTCACCCCGCTGCTGTCGGCCGACGCCCTCAGGCCGACGCCGCGCGGCGATGTGAGCGCGCCCAACCTGCGAGCCCTCTCGAGGATGCCCCACGGTTGGCGCCGCGCCGGCCGCCCGCGCTACGTCGTGGACTTCGCCCTGGGCGCCGACGGCGACCTGGCCGCGCGCCTCATCGCCGACCCGTGCTCGGACGTGCTCATCGCGAACATGGTGGCGCCCGAGCCCGCGGGGGCCACGTTCAGCGTCGGCCTCGCCCCCGGCGACCACGTGAGCGCCGACGGCGTGCCCCGGGACCTGGCCCCACTCGCGCGCCGCTTCAAGGACGCCGTGACGGTGCCGGCGCGCGCCGCGGTCCTCAACGCGCGCTGCGTGTGCAACCCCAGCCTGCTGGGGCTTCCCCCGGAGCTGCACCTCAAGCTGGCCGCGCAGCTGGCCGTGGCGGACCTGTACCACCTGGCGGCCGCGAGCGCCCGCCTGCTGCCGCTGCTGCGCGACCCCGCGCTGTGGCGCGCGCTAGTGCACCGGCGATACCCCTCGCTGTACAAGGACCTGGAGGCGCAGGAGCGGGAGCAGGAGCCCGTCGACTGGCGGCAGGAGTACAAGAGGAAGCGCTCCCAGCAGCACTCGCGCCGGCGCCTGCTGGCCCACCGGGGCACCCCACCTCCTCCCGTCTGGGCCTACCCGTCCCTGTCCGAATTCAATATGTTATAGACATGATGTAGCCCTCGAGTCATGTTTTCTCTCCTGTGATAAGGCTTTTTGTGACCTTTGCGCTATTGCGTCCCTGTCAGGGTGCCGCCTGTATTCGGACACATGTTATGTTGTACTTGTTTCACCTCTCTCTCCTGTACCGACTGAATAAAAGCGGCGGGCTGTTTGTTAACCCCTGGCGACTCCTTCCAGATGATCCCCCGCCCCGCACGCACGAGCGGCACGAGCTCTCGCCGCCCTGGCTGCCGTCGCTCCCCGAACAGGCCGAGGTCCCCGCCGGCGAGGACGCCGACCATGACGGCCACAACAGCGATGCGGGATCAGGTGAGTCGGCCCTTCCCCCTGTCACTATACCCCCGGTTCCCTCTTACAGTCACAGTTTCATCCCCCCAAAGCGAGGGCTGCGAGTGGGCGGTGAAGGAGTGGAGGCTCCAGTCCGCCGCCCGCGTCCTACTGTTGGCTGCACTTCTTCGGCGGAATGTTCGCGCCCGGGTGTAATGAGTGAGAATGGTGGACGCCGCGAGCCGCGGTCGGTGCCATGGTCTCGCGGCGGGCACACTGCTCCGCATCATCGGGAAATGCTTTGACTGTGCCAAGTTGATTTAGTGCACCCAAAGAAATGAAAGGCTGCTAGCAACTATCGAATGGCCATCTCAGGGAGCCTTTATGGTTTATGGGCGAATGGAGGTTGATGGCGGTATGTGCAAACCCGCTGGTCTCGCCCGAGGACCACGCTTACAGCTCGCGCGGAGTGTTGTCGCCACTGATAGGGTCGCCTGCGAGTGTTGCCGGGGAAGGCCGAGACTGGCAGTCTTTGCCTCTTACCCCTCTCCCCGGCCAGGGCTGGCCGCCCGCGCGCGCTCCGGCCGGGCCGGGGGCGGGGGGTCCTCATCGGGGGGCTGCGAGCCGTGGGGGGTTGGTGGTGGTGGTCGGGGGGCGGCGGCGGCCGGGGGTTGGCCGGGGGGAGGCGGCGCTCAGAGTGCGCTGGGTCGCCGCGCTGGCCGGACGCACGGAGCCCCGCCCGCCACGCACTCAGCCGCCGCGCCGCGAGCCAGCGATCGCGCGCGTCGGGCACCTGCTGGCCGAGGCCTGGCCGAGGCCATGGAGACCCGCCTGCCGCCCGTCTGAGCGGGACTCCGAGCCGACGGGCCGCCAGCGGCCTCGTTTCGTCTCGCGCGTGTTCGGTCACCTGTGACCCTGTCGGAAGAGGTGTGTTTGTTGTGTGTGTGTGTGTGTGCGCGCGCGCGCGCGCGCGCGCGTGTGCGATGTCCAAGTGCTCCGCGTGGAGCCCTTTATTGCAGGCCGCGGAGGCCATGCAGACCGCTGCTCCTCGCCTATTGAGGCCGCTCATTGTGCGGTGCTCGTGTTTGTGTTGAGCGGCCC